TTGTTCGGAATGGCTCGCTCGCTGTTTGCGACTCTGCGGATTAGCGCCGAACTGCCGTGCTGCGCTATCGCGTGCCGGGCAAAAGGCGCCAGAGAGAGAGAGAGAAAGAGAGAGGAAACGCGACCGCGCCGAGAATAAATAATACACGCCTACGTCCGCCGGCTGTCACTCACCCCGAGCTGAGCGGCTCCGTGCCCCTGAGCTCCGTCTCTGTCGCACCTCCACAACAGGCAGCGCGGCGCAGGCACTGTTGGGAATCGGGCCGGGGGGGGGGGGGGCACTTCACTCTCAATGGTCTTACAATGAAATTTTAACTATGTCTTATGACAAGGCAAATTTCTCCATGATACGTTTTTTTTTTAAAGCACGAAGTGGCCTTATTTTTTATTTGGACCACCAGCGGTCTGTGCATTACCTGAAGCCACAGCAAGCAGCTCCAGCCCGCTTGCCACGCCGTCGCTCAGCGACCAGGCCGTTCACTGCCGGAAAACCGAGGTCCCGGCCATCCTCCCGTGAGCCTCGCTTAAACCGGCAACCTCGCCGCGCCGCGCGAACCGGCCCAAAACCTCCTCCGAGGCATTTGCCGAAAAGTTCGGGAGGATATCGCCACTTTCGAGTTCCCAGTGTGGCGGAGCCGGAGAGGCATCGGGGAGGGGCCCGGGAAGGGGTCGCAGGGGCGATGCGGCATCAACGCGTTGCCGGCGGAGCAGACACTTTGCTTCGGGCGAAAGCCGAATAAATCAAGAGCTATCCCGCGCCTGCCGCCCTACCGCCCTGCGCCTCACGCCTAGCAGCGCCCCCAGGATTGGCCGCCCGCTGCTGCCGTGCTGCCGCACCGCCGCGGGGCGTGTCTCGGAAAAAAGTGGGTTGAGGCAAATGTCCCTCAGCCACCTGAAAGCAGCACGCCGCCCGAACGCCCCCCGCGCGCCTACATGCGCCTCGGGGCGAAACCAACTTATCGCGCAAAAGGAGGGCCGGGGCCGCGCCGCCGCGCTGCGACATGCGCCGCCCTGCTGGCAGATTCCCAGCACTCCGAACGGCGCCTCTGTCTCTCTCGCCGCCCTGCGGGACGCCCCGCCCCGTCCTGCACGGTAAAAACGGAACCTGGTTTTCCCAGGAAGCCAATGGTGAAGGCATAGGCGATTTCCAGGGAGTTCCTGGGAAAACCAGGAACCGTTTCTACCGTGTGTGCGTGCGAGAGAGACAGAGCGCCCCGCACTGCGCGGCATCAGCCTGCAGATTCCTCATCGCCCACTTCTGAGAAAAGAGAGCGAGAGCGTTAGCAGTGCAGCCGTTTCTTCAAACCCGCACAACAGCCGCTTAAGGTTACTGTGAAGTGAAAAAAAATGTGAAATATCATTTTTCAAAATAATTGTGGCATCATGTTTGTATTTAGGTTTCAGGTTGCTTACTATAAGATGAACTTAAACCCAAAGTTGAGGCACTCAACTCCCATTATTTTCTGAGTTATTGAAGTTTACGTAACAAATTTAGTCGTTAACTAAAAATTCTCCTTGCGATGAACCAAAAGTTGTCGAGACTTGATTTTTGTTCTACAAGTTCTTTATTGATTAGCCTATCTCGTAGCAAAGCCGGATTTCCAAAATTCCAACATGAAACAGGAATTTTTCTCAAAAAACACAAAAAAACACCAAAAAATAGCAAAATTTTACCAAATTTCAGTAAAAAATTCAAAATGCATTTTCCAAATAGAAATTACAGCTTATCTATGCATATATTGTGAAATCCGGCTTTGCTAGTCTGTTTGCATGTCCATTGGGCCTTAAAATAAAAAATCACACCTCCGTAAACTTTTTGGTTCATCGCAAGGAGAATTTTGAGTAAACGACTAAAATAACACTAAAACCCTCATAACTTTGGAACTAATGGGAGTTGGGAGTCCAGTCTGTGGCTGTAAAAGTTTTTCATAGTAAGCAACTAAATCACCAAAAACCAAAGCACTGCCACCTATACTTTAGAAGATAGTTTTTTCACCTTACAGTAACCTTAATTCCCAACAGTGTGTCGCTTTGTCTCTCTCGCACTCATGCGGCGTTGCGTGCGGGTGCGAGAGAGACAGAGCGACACACTGTTCGAGATGCTGCCAGCGAAAACAAGATTACAGCCGCCGTAAACCGTAAACGCAGACCTACGGGATAACATTCCTAGAATCCGCTTTCGGCCGCGGAGGGGGGGAGGGGGCTCAATCCCGGGTCACTGAGGAGGAAGGGAGGGAGAGAATAAAAAGAGAAAAGGCGAAGAATGGGGAGGCGGGAGGAGAAAGGACAGGCGAAAAGACGGTGGTTTCGGCGCGCGGGTCGCAGTCTCGCGGGCCTCCTGGGGCACGGGGAGCACGACGTGGAGGAGATAGGGGTTTACACCGCACAAGAGATTGAGGGCGGCGTGAAGGTAAAGGTGTGCCGTGGCGTGCCATGCCGTGCCGCGCCGCGCCGCGCGCTCCAGGTGCAAATAGCCGCACTGAGAGACAGAGTGCTGCTTTTACAGTAAGTGGACCAGCGGGAGGGTCTCGGCGATGGACTGGAGGAGGAGGCCAGGCAGGGTCTTGAGGTGGTGGCCTCTGTGTGTGTGTGTGTGTGTGTGTGTGTGTGTGTGTGTGTGTGTGTGTGTGTGCGCGGGCGCGCGTGAGTGAGTGTGTGTGCGTGTGTGGGAGAGGCACGTCTTCTTGTGTATGAGGGTGTGCATCGTATACCCACCCAAGATAAACTCAATTTTTTTTTAAACAGCAATGAAACAACTAAAAAAGTACCAACAATCCCGCAGAGGTCAGTAGGTCAGGGCTAGAGCACTCCCGGAAGACAAACTAGTTCCCTTCCTCTTGTTTCGCTGACGGAGAGGTTTGGACCTGCCACGGGCGCGCCGCGCCGGCACGTCAGGCACGTCAGGCCAGGAGTGGCTCACGACCGCGAAGAGCCGAAGACCACCGCACTACCTACATCGAGACCCACATGTTGGGCTACACCTCCAGGGGCCAGGGCGCCACCAGCACCACGTACAAGGATCGTCCATTAACGCACGCGAGCACTCACGCACACTCTCACACTCACGCGCAGACGCGCACACACGCACACACACGAGCGCGCGCGTAACAAGAACTTTGCTCTCCACGTGTCAAACACTCCGACTCAAACTCGATTCGTGGGCCGCCCTTGCTTTTGGCCTCGGACTCTCCCCGCCCTGGCCGGCAGAGGCAGAGGCCGTGGCCGAGGCCGTGGCCGAGGCTGGCAGAGAGGCCCACCTGGCCCTAGCCGCGCCATCCCGGCCGTCGCCGTCACCACCGCGATGTCAATAAGATACCGTCACGAGCGGCACGTCACCGCGTGTGACGTCACGGCCGTCAACACGGCGGGGGAGTAAAGGGCCGCATCCCCTCTGTGACCCCCGACACTGTAAAACCACCGCCACCTCCGCCACTGTACCCCCGTCACCGACACTGTAACCCCCTACACTGAAGCCCCCAAACCCCTGCCAAACCCCAACACTGAACCCCCAACAACCACCCAACCAACCCCCGACACAGTAACCCCGCCGCACCGCCGCACCGTCGTCTTGAGCGCCTTCGCTGCCGCCGTCGGGCGCTTCGCCTGGGCTGTCAGACTCCGATGCAGGAAGGCGAGGCGGGCCAGGCCATGGGCCAGGCCGAGGCGAAGAGCCACTGGATAATGGACCCGCTGTCGTTCCCATCTGCAGGCGGGCTGAGGCTGAGGCCTACTCATTTATTAAGGGGGGACAGGGGCCCGTGTAGTGATTCCCCCGCGGGACTGGGGCTGAGGCGGCAGGCAGGCGGCGGGCTGCTTCCGAGGCCTCTCGCTCTCTCTCGCACTCATCGGGTGCGCCGTGTGCGTGCGAGAGAGACGGCGCGACGCGCGGAATGAGCCTGCTGGCGGCAGGCAGACAGGGCCGGCCCTCCCCGGGGTGGAACCGGCAACCACGGCGTATTAGCGTCAAGCCCGAGCTGGCAGCATCAGCCCGAGCTGGCAGCCCGGCCCGAGTTAGCTCATTATTCCCGCGCCTTTCGGTCCGCGCTGGCAGTGCTGGCGGGCGAAAGTACACGGACGAAGCGAATCATCGGCCGGGTTCGTTTCGTTTCGTTCGGCCAGCTTCTGTTCTGTTGACTCTCGCAACAATGGCCGGCCTTTTGGCGGTGACTCTGCCCGGCTCCGTCTGCTGAGGGCTTTTGCCGCTTTTGCAGGGATTCTGCATGCACAGTGGCTCCCCAAGTTGGATTCGTTCATCGACGCCCGGGGCGCTGGGCCTGTCTGGGCCGGGGGCGGCTCGGGGGCGGCTCGGGGGCGGTCCGGGCCCGGCTTGCTGCCTCTCCGCCAAGCTCGCTGCGCCACTGCAGAGCAGAAGAGGCGTCCAATTTGGCTGGCAGTGTGATTCCGCTAACGAAGAACGAAGCTCGACTCCCTTGCCGCCAAGCCAACCTTCAGCGGCTTGCCCGCCCACGCCCCGCCTGCCTACGCCCCGCCCCGCCCCGCCCCGCCTCGCCCCACCCCGCCCGCCCCGCCTTTGAGCACGCCTCGGCCGGCACCTACCCACTAAAGTAAACAGCCGCAGTGGGCCAAACTAAAGCAGCTACACCACTCTGTTAAAAATCACCAGCCACGTACACTTTTCTTTTTCCCTCCCCCATTTTTTTTGACGAAGTGCGCAGAGTAAGTCGATTGGATTCTACTGTATAAACAGTGGAAGGCAAAAGGAATCCTCTTGGAAACCCATTGATACAAAGAGGAAAATGGGATTTTTTTTTCCGGCGCTCCCAATAAAGCTTTACTGCGGCCCGCGGCCAATTTCGTTTCGTTACCCGTTTAGGCGGAAGGCCAAACACCGCCCACTATTTCTGCCCACAGGCTGGCCCCCTAACGCCCTTCAAGTAGGCGGGGCGAGGCGGCGCCGCCCTCCGGGAAGTTATTGGCCGTACTTAGCGATGCCGGGCGAAAAGGCGCGGCGCTGCGATGCGGCCAGCGAAGCGTACTCACCATTATTGCTCGCGACCGAATACCTAGTCCAGTCGCCACTACGACGTCTATCTTCCGACTCTCCTGCAAGCAGAGGAAGCAGCGCGCCGTTAGTCACAGAAACACACGAGCAAAGTAGCCACGGGCCGCCATGCTGGCACACAGTGGGCCGGAAGACCGGTGGAGACGGCCAAAACTCTTGACGCGTTTTGAGCTACGGAGTCGCCAAATGGGACTCGAACCGAACGTGTGACCCCACCAATGGATTGCTCTCTGAACGAGGAATCCATTGGTGGGGTCACACGCTCGGTTCGAGTCCTGTTTAGCGACTCTGGAGCTCAAAACGCGTCTAGACTTTTGGCCGCCGGCGCCGGTCTTCTGGCCCACTGTGTGGCAGCAGCATTCCGAAGCGCAGCATGGTGACTCTGTCTCTGTCGCACTCTTGGGGCAAGGGGTGCGAGAGAGACAGAGCGGGGTCGGCCTCGGTCGGCCTGCAGCGAGGGTTCAACCTCGAGTTCAACAGCGCGCGGGCATGCCATGCCGTGCCGTGCCGTGCCGTGCCAGCCATTGGCGCCAAGGACGGCGAGGACGGCCCGCAGGCCGCAGGATCGCCACTCCGCACGAGGAACTTTACCGCCGGACCGTTAACGCTGTCTCTCTCGCACTCGCCTGGCTTGGCGTGCGGGTGCGAGTGCGAGAGAGAGAGAGAGTGAAATCGGTCCGCGCCGCAGTCCGAGAGGGAACCTTTCCCCGCGAACGCGATCACGTAAGCCGAGAAGTGCTGCTGCCGCACGGTCTTCCATTCCAGTGTGGGGCGCAGGGAAGCACGGGGAAGCACGGGGTACACGCCGCCGTCTCGGCCGACGCCAACAACACCGCCACCCTGGTCAGAGGCCGTCTTGGCGTCGCCGGGCCGCGGGGCGAGCGGGGCAGTCAGGGGCAGTGCTGCGGCAGCCCAGGCCGAGGCCCGGGCTGCCCTGTTGCTGTAGTCCCCGCAGTCCCCGCTCGCCCCGCTCCCATCGTTGCAGTAAAACGGCAAGGGACGTGCGGCGTCTCTCTCTCTCTCTCTCTCTCTCTCTCTCTCTCTCTCTCTCTCTCTCTCTCTCTCTCTCTCTCTCTCTCTCTCCAGGGCGACGCGGGACGCACTGCAATTCCTCGGCAGCCACATCCGCAACTAAGTAAACCGAGAAAAAGCAAGGCCACACACACACACGCGCGCACGCAGAAGGAAACAGAGAGAGAGAAAGAGAGAAAGCTTTTTCTTTTTCTGTGCGTGAAAAAAAAGAAAGTTAAATCAGCTGTTTTCCAGCCACCACGGCGCAGCCGCGAGCACTCAATATGGAAGTTAAATCTGGCAGAGGAAGCAGCACACGGACGGGGACCTCTCTCTCCCTCTCCGTCTCTCTCTCTCTCTCTCTCTCTCTCTCTCTCTCTCTCTCTCTCTCTCTCTCTCTCTCTCCCCGCATTCCCGCTCAAAGAAAGGAAAGGCGGTTGGCATCAGCGGATATCGGCGGGGGTCGGGTTTTAGCCGCCGGGCCGCCGCGCCGCCACGGCCCACTCCACCGTATTGAACTGGTTATGCATGCATAAGGGGATTCCATGTAAATGAATGGCGGCTTTACTTTTTACCGAGGTGCGTTATCAAGCGTCGCCCCGCTGCTAGCTGCTGGCGTGGCACAGTGGGCCAGAAGACCGGCGGAGACGGCCAAAACCCTTGACGCGTTTTGAGCTACGGAGTCACCAAATGGGACTCGAACCGAACGTGTGACCCCACCAATGGATTACGCACTGAACGAGGACTCCATTGGTGGGTTCACACGCTCGGTTCAAGTCCTGTTTAGCGACTCTGGAGCTCAAAACGCGTCTTGAGTTTTGGCCGCCTGCACCGCTCTTCTGGCCCACTGTGCGTGGCGCCGTTCGCCATGCTGATGTGTCGCCCGGCTCCGGGATCAGCGTCTTCAGAGGCGGCTTTAAACTTGCCACCAGCCCGGCCCGCCTCCAGCCTGCCCCCAGCCCGCCCCCAGCCCGCCCCCAGCCCGCCCCCAGCCCGCCCCCAGCCCGCCCCCAGCCCGCCCCCAGCCCGCCCCCAGCCCGCCCCCAGCCCGCCCCCAGCCCGCCCCCAGCCCGCCCCCAGCCCGCCCCCAGTCTCGATACACCCGGCGCGCTAAATAATGCACCACGTGGCGTCCGTGCGTACAAAGAAGCAAGCGACGTGAAAGGTCAACCCCGACAGTGTGGGCGGGGAGCCCAGCATCATCCACGACCGCTAAAACGTTGCGAACCTCCGGGTTTTCTTCCGAAAAAAACATCTCTCCAGGCCAAAGCTAGACCGGCAGACATCACTTTGTAGAATTATTCTGACAATTAATGTTTCGGTAACATTTTTGTTGAGTCTATCTATGTTTATGGTGATCACCAGCTGCCTTAGAGTAAACTCGACCTTGGAGTAAAAGGGCTTAAATCAGGGCTTCTGTTGTGTCGACACTTCTGTTGTGTCGACACAACAGAAGCCCTGATTTGAGCTCTTTTACTCTAAGGCAGACTTTTTTAATTTGTTTTGACGTGTTAGTGCAGCGGGAACGGGCCACAAGTCACCACACAGTCTCTCTCTCTCTCTCTCTCTCTCTCTCTCTCTCTCTCTCTCTCTCTCTCTCTCTCTCTCTCTCTCTCTCTCCTCTCTCTCTCTCTCTCTCTCTCTCTCTGTCTCTCTCTCTCTCTTTCACTCTCTCTCTCACACACACACACACACGCGCGCGCGCGCGCGCGCGAAAGCAAGACCACAGCAGTAAACCTTTTCGTGGTGTATTTTTTTATGTTTTTTTTTCGTGTGTTGTGTTTTTCTTTTCCCCCTTCATACTCGTCGCAGCGTAAACACAATTCATCTTGCTCTGTGCGCGGTGCGGGGAGCACTCTTGAGCCTCTCATATACGGCCCGCCACGCCCCACCACGCCCCGCCACGCCCCGCCACGCCCCGCCCCGCCCCGCCACGCCCCGCCATCGTCCATCACGCAGGTGGCTTTTCTGAGAGCGGAAAAATCACTCCTGATTGCTCGCATAGCATTTAAGACTCCCAAACAAAAGGGGACGAAAAAAAGCAATTTCGAAAGGCTGTGCGGCGACGGCCTCCCCCAGTCTCTCATCTGTATCGTATGCAAAACTGCGGCTCAAAAGCTGTCTCGCTTTTTTGTTTTTGTTTTGGTGAGGTCCGCGTGGAAGGAGCCGTAAGACGGAGGGGGCGACGACCCCGACTGCGCCAGACTGCGTCAGACTGCGTCAGCGCGTCCACGAAAGGCAGCCGAAGGCTTGTACTTATTCGGGCCCCAATTAGTGGCTTTTTGTTTTTTGTCTCTGCCGAGCGACGCCTCTGCGCGTCACGGTGCGACAGGCAGATCGCCCCGTCTCCCTCGCGCCCTCACGGCCTCACGGGGCGCGCCGCGAGTGCGAGGTGGACGGCGGCACCGCGCGCCATTGCCGCCACACACCTGGAGACAAAACGGCACGCGGCGGCGAGGGCGGAGGCAGGCACGGCGCAGCCGTGGCGACAAAAATTAAATTTAACTTGCGCTCGCTTCTCTTTTTAATTGAAAGAGACGCCCGGGGCCCCGGCCGCCACCTCCCAACCTTGCGCTACCAGGTAAACACTTTGGCGGGCAACCCGGGCAACGAGGCAACACTACACCAGTCAAACTGGCAGTTTTCAGCAACCCGGCTAAAATTGAAGCGCAGTTGAACGCTGAACCATGCAACTACGCTGGGAGACTGCGCTCGAGGTCGTCAAGCGTCGAGGAAAATTGTGAGATAGGCGGAAGATGAGTGGAACGGAGCAGTGGACGCTTGAAGAAATGCATCAATAGGGTACTTCGGAGAAGAGCTGGAGCGGAAGTTGAGAAGAAATCAAGAAGAACAAAGTATGCGAAATGCGTAAGAATGAGCGTCTGCGTCGCCGTTCTGCCGCTTCCGCAGAGTTACATTCTCATACAAGTCGGGCGTTTCTTCTTCTTGATTTCTTCTCAACTTCCGGTCCAGCTCTTCTCCGAAGTACCCTATACAAAATCCGACGGCAGCGCCCCTTTGCGGCCAATTCCCGAATTTGCGACACGCTCATGTCACGCCCCACAATGCGGCGGCGGCGCGCTCGCTGTGTGCTCTGCCGAGTCAGCACCAAACTACAAACAGCGCGACAAAGCCGGCTGTGTGCTGGGGCGGGGCGGGGCGGGGCGGGGCGCGGCGGGGTGGAACGCCACCTCGCGACCTGCCCCATTGTAGAGTCCCCACAGGCGAACCGAACGCACCAAAATGGGGCGTCGGGCCGGCCGGCAGAGCGAGGCACGAGTTATGAGTTACTGCTGCCCCGCCCCGCCTCACCCCACCCCACCACGCCCCGCGGAGTGACCGCCCTGCGAGACCCTCATTGCTTCGGCCGACACGAGACGCACAAAAGGCCCACGCGACGAGGAGTTTTCAGGTTCCAAGCCCTTTCTGCTTTCCCATTCTTTTCTCCAGCGGTGAGTCGATCAGCTCCAGCGGGATGATGTATTGCACACTGGAGAGAGAGAGGGAGAGAGAGAGAGAGAGAGAGAGAGAGAGAGAGAGAGAGAGAGAGAGAGAGAGAGAGAGAGAGAGAGAGAGGGTCGCCTGCAGCGCGGCGAGCAGGCCCCGCCTGTCCAGACAGGTCCAGACACGTCCAGCCAGACAGGTATACAGCACGAGACAGGTGGCGCGTTCTTTTCCCAGCGCTTTATGGTGCAGTGGCGCTCCACGCCCCAGCCGCGCGGTGGGGACTCTGGAGAAGCTGGAGAGGCCGGGCTGCATTAGAAAGGAGAAAGCACGCGACCTTCGCGCCTTGCCCGTGTACACCTCGGCGGCCGTGCCGTGCCGTGCCGCCGTGTTCCCCACCCCACCGGAGGCAGGATGGATGCCTCTCGGTGTGTGCTCCTGGCTGTAAGCCAAATTTATGGTTCCTTCGCAGCGCCGCCCGCGCGCTCCGAGGACCGAGGAGGACGAGGAGGACGAGGAGGACGAGGAGGACCGCGGCGGGCACCGTGTCCGTGCCAGCAGCGCCGCCAGCGCCGCCAGGAATGCT